TGAAACGTCCTTTTGAAATTCACGACATCACTTCATCTGTGGTTAATATCATCAAGTTAGACGATGGTAAGAAATCACGACAGAGTATTACACCCTCGAGAAAGTAAAACGTAACGTATTTTATACAGCAGTAGTTTTAAGGTAGTACGCTCTGTGTGCCTATAAAGTTTTACAAGTATTTATATTCAACAATTTTTAAGGGGAAACAGATGTACTTAGTTGTCAAAAGATCAGTGCAGTAAACTAGAACATCCTCAGAAGTGTACTATAATTCACGATGAAAATAATATATCTATGGCATCGCAATCTTTTATTTGCACACAGTTTCATTAAATAGTCTCCGGGTCTTTATGTTTTAAGCCCACAAGGATTTACCTGATTTCGAGGTGGATTTTCAATTGCTATCCGACAAGATTTAGAGAAACTCTGAAAATCGAAGAACACAGGCAGACTGTCTCCTAGTAAGTTGGTGGTAACTACCAACATTGACTCAAAACTGCATAAAACTCGACTTATAGTAGCATGAGGCTTCTGGACAGGCATATTACTACATGCCAATAGGCTGGAATATAATGCGCTTTAGTTTTGAGCTTCTACCACTGTCACTACCAATAACCATTCATAGATTCACTTTCTGTTTCTTCATTCCTCGCAGGAAGCATGTCGCATACAGAGTGACAAGTGTGACATTATATGTTGAATATAAATGATACCCATTTTTCTTCTTTACAAGAAAATTAGATCTTTAAAGAAGGTAATTAGTTTCTGTTACGCATAGAAGTATTTGCCAAGCTTTTTAAGTTTCTTTGGGAATCTGCAACATATTTCGCGGATTTCTACTCTATCATCGTAAAGAAACAAACACTCATTATTCACTTTGACTTAGTTGCTGAATTATTATTCCACCGTTCGGGTCACACTTAATTTCATAATCTAATGGACCTACTGTTCAGAATCAATACATTTGATTCCTAACAGTTCAGCATTTATGCACATCAGCAGTTGGGTATAAGACATGTGGTTTAGATGCTTGTCATTTTAGAGTTCATTCACTTGCGTTTAGAGTCACATACTATTTATTCTGTTATATTGGGGTGAAGGCAAATCTTGACCTGTGATATTATTTATAAAGTGAAGTGTTTTGCAGAATAAATGAGCTTTTTTTAAATGTCTAACTATTAAGACCAGACAACGAAACCAATCATGGTGAGTGTTCTGTTTAAATTAGAAAAGTTCAGATTCCAAATGAGTCACTGGATGGTAACTAGCTTTTCTTGTAACCTGAAATTTCCAGGTTCGAACTCTAATTGGGTGGCTCGTACACGACTAGAAAGTCCCAGATGAGGAGGACACCCATGGTGGGAGTTCCTTACAAACTGGTCCGAACTTCTTCAGAGAAATTGATCGAAATTAAAATAACGGAGGTTTATATATAAAAAAAGGACATCTTTTGTTTTTAAAAACTTTGTCCAGTCATATGAGTCATGAAACAGTCATCAAAATATATAATCAACAAAATTGTATGAGCTGTGATCGAAATCTGACCTCAGACTTTCAAATACTGGTCTACTCTCGCTAAACCTGACAACTCCAGTAGGTCGATTAAAGCAGTTCAAGTTTCAAAGAGAAGACAAATCAATAAGTTCGACAGGGTGTTTCAACTAAACTGTAATTATAACAACATAATTTTGAAAGTACGTCTAATCATGAAATTCTAGATGCTAACAGTTTGAACAGACTTGAAGGTGTGAAGTTAACTGATGGTGCATGGAGAATCTTGACTGATAAATAAAAAATGGATGTATTTACCAATTTGAATGTACGTGTGGACACACATACACAGGAGGGAGGACTCATCGATCTCTGCAAGTAAGGGCTGGCTTCAGAGCATATTCCTAAATGGCTCTAGAAACAAATGGAATCTTCAGAACCTATTAACGGTGAGAACAAAAAACCTAGCTCTTCTTTTGTGAAACATATTATAGAAACAGGACATAAAATTGACGTTAACTGATCTTTTAAACTTATCTATAAAACGTGTTTGGGGAGTATCCTAAAGTTTGTGGAAGCCCTGATAATTTGAAAGTTTAAACCACTTTTATGCGTTCAAAAACAGTTCATCATTACATTAAACTTTCCTTGGTAAATTTTGTTTTGATACCATACCAGATGTACTATTACCTCTGCTATTTGGTTTAGTGATATTCATTGTTATTTTGACCTTGAATATGTCCTTTTAACTTGACCTAAGTCTATTTTCTCACCTCATACCTCTTTATTAATTTCATATATATTCCTATGACAAGTCCGTGTATGATCAGACTGTTTGAAATGTGTTGTGCAAATACACATTACACGATTCAGACAAATTGCGTCTTGTTATTGCTTTATCTAAAAAATGGATACGTATCGTAAATCGATCATACTTGATTTAAATTCCCGATTGTCTATATCTTCTTATAGAGAGGCTAATAAATGTTTTACAACTGTTCACCCACATACATATACACACATCATTGTGTGCTGCAGGTATACATCCATATATCATCATATTCAGGTGTCTACGACCATGAAGTTTAGTCGAACTCAATCTCTAAAATTCTAATGAAAAGTATTTAACAAAAGTAGACCAGTATTTGAAAGTCTGAGGTCAGATTTCGATCACAGCTCATACAATTTTGTTGATTATATATTTTGATGACTGTTTCATGACTCATATGACTGGACAAAGTTTTAAAAAACAAAAGATGTCCTTTTTTTATATATATAAACCTCCGTTATTTTAATTTCGATCAATTTCTCTGAAGAAGTTCAGACCAGTTTGCCTAACGAGACGTTGGAATTACGCATTTCAATTTCGCTGAGATTTTACAAATATATTTCTTTTACCAATGTCTACTTTTCACTCTGCGCCCAATTATTTTAGAACTATTCTGTCAAGTGTTAACCACAGTTCACATGAAGCCGAGAAGTCGTTTTTTCCCTTGAGTGTCCACGACAAACTCTATCAGAATACACTGACTTATAGACAGAAAGTAAAATATTTTTAATATCATCAAGTCCTTAGCACAGATCGAATTCCGTCTACCAAGTTTGCAACCTAATCACTTAAATCTAAAGCTAGTCACCCCGGCATACTTTACCTTTCATCATTCAACTGGAGGCAATCTGCAGAAAGCCCCAAAACTAGATTGTTTGTTTGTTGGTTTACAAACCGAATACCTACAACCGAAGCACCTCTCTATCCTACTGCAGATACACGTAGCTGACGAGTTCCAAAAAGTAAATCTATGCATCGAAATTGTATTCTGATTATTTGTCGTTGTTTAATGATGACTATAATATCACACATGTTGCTATAGTTTTTCTCAACGCACGTAATCGAAGTTAGGACAGCGTAAAGGCAATCAGGATAGGGATTGAAGAAAAGAAATTGTCTAATTTAGGAGGTGGTTAGAGTCCCTGAACCGAGCTGTTTAACAACCATCTGTCCTTTCACCTACTCGGATTATTCAATGATGGCATACAAATATTTAATCTACTGTGGAAGATGAAAATGATGGAAAGTTCCATTTCTTCGAGATTGCCATGCAACACCTAAAGGATGGTAGTCTCCAGAGGTCAATATACCGAAAGCCTACATGGAATGGACAATAATCACATTTTAATAGCTTTTGTGTGAATAGCCTCAAACGAGCACTAGTCAAGACTTTGTACTATAGAGGTAGGCGAATATTCCCTACAGAGAAATCAGAGGAAGAATTTATGGTTGTCGCAAAAAATGTTGAAAAACAACAGTCAGTTTCAGAGATTCATTAACAAATCTGGAAGATGTGAAGGCTCAAGCATCAAACAAATCACAGTGGGAAAAAGCCTGTCTTCATTCAACTCGATGTTAAAGGTGAAAATACTGCAGCAGTAGCCAAGAGAAGATTGAGTACATCACTAGCCAGAGCCTATCCTTCAGCTAGCTAAGTTTATTCCCGTCTATCGGACAATATACTCCTTGGTGCGGTCAAAAGTGGACAAATACCCTTCTCATGTTAACTACAACTGTGTGTACAGATTTACGTGTATCTACAGGAGCAGTTACATTGGGAAAACAGAAAGAAGGGTACACCTCCAATTTCCTGAACATGCACAGAAAAGCCTACATCTCAAGGGAACAAACGCTTACAATAATGTCATTACCAAACATCATGAGGTGGAAATCGCAAAATCCTTGAAAATTATTTGTGGACAAAAAAGCTCAATTCTCCTCATGACTGCCGAAGCAATCTCCACTAAACGCCGTAAACACCATTTATATGTTCAGGAAGAATCAGTTATCAGTCCTTCCTTGCCAACCTAGTAACTGGCTGTCTTCATTCTCCCCTCCGTATGATTACGTAATCTTTGTCTATAACCTCACCCCTCTTTTATAATCTGTAATTTTGCTTGTCTCTTGTTTCTGTGATTTGAGTTGAACTCAGTGCCTTGTTACTCAATTAAATGGTTACTAATCATCTTGCTCACCTCTTGTCTTTACTACGTAACTCTTTGCTTGTGACTGTTCCTCAGAAAGTTAAGCCATATATCTGTGAATCGTATTAGCACACGTTAAGTCATCAGTGATTAGTCGGCGAGTTCCTCAAGGTTAAGCTTTGTTATCGTTTTTCTCATGACCCTGATTTGGGGCGTAACATTGACGTCAACCGTTACCTACAATTTTTGCTCGTTCGCAGCCAGCGCTCACCACACTACTACTACTACTACTACTACTACTAATATTTCTACCGCTTTTTTTACTACTGTGACGTCGTCTTCGACTAGGCTATGAAATGGAGCTACTACTATTAGCTATACCATTACGATTTATTAATAAGACATTAAAATCCAAAGCTTTCTTCCAATTTCATTCATTAATCTAACATTAAGTGAAGCATCACAACAGCACACAACTAATTTTGTTAACCAGGTGTTTTATTAACCAAAGAAAGTTTTGTACACAAAAGTCCATACTGGTTTATGAATTTTCTGTCTCAGACAACAACGAAGTATATAAATTGGAAACATGATCCCTTTTCATATGTGATTAGTTGTCTGTCCAACTTTCTGTTGTATTAGACATGCATAATTTGGTCATTAGATCCTGAATGTGCTACAGCCTTTTGCAGGGGATGTTGAGTTGCATGTAGCTGCGAGTTAGCTTGACTTTGAGATACCGGAAGATTATTGGAGTGTGTATCAGAAATCGTTGGCTGTGATACTACTATTGGCTTTTCAGTTCGAGGTAATATTTGTGTTGACTGAACCTCTTGAGTCATTTGTGCATCATTTCGCTTTCGCAGATATATAGGTAAGAAAGACTGGCTATCAAATGGAACATCTTCAATATCTTTTGGAATCTTGTAAAGTTTGATTATTCTATGACCTATCCTTCGAAAGAATCCCGAAGCATAAGGATGAAGTTTCCCACCGGTGATTTTTAGCTTTCTGTAACGTTCAATTGCAATTTGACCTACCGCTTGATATAGTGTGCACGGACAACAGAACAGATAGGCGTACAAATCAAAGATGATATTACCTTTGATACGATAAATATGCCTCAATTTTTTGCGCCAACAACATCCTAGCAGTACATTTATCCATAGGAGAGGTGCAACAATCAATGTGAAGAAATACAGAAAGCAAAATGTGAACCAAGAATAGCCCAAATCTTGACTTATACTTCCAAAAACACAACAAGGACACAGACAAGACATAACTCCCAGTCTCATTGATTTACACTCGAATAGACTAACTTCCCAACTCTTTTTATTTTTCCAGTTTGGTAACGATCTGAGCTGCTCTGTCATCACTTGATTATCTTGGGAAGCTGTGGCAGATACCTCCATGTTGTTAAACTAAAAAAAAAAGAAAGACTGTAGTTATACAGAGCATTAACTTTAAAGATTTGACTAATATGTGAATGATTTCTAACACTGATCAACACATGTTGTGGAAGAAACGGGAAAATATGACAACTATTTCTGTTTGGTGCAGAATCAAGAGTTGACGCTGACATCCACTACTTTCAAAATCAAAATCAGGACACTTAGTTAGTATATCCAGATTACTGGACTTCAGTTTAGTGGTATCTTAGCAATTTATCTAATGTAGGGACTTAATGTATAGTATTCACTAAATTTAGAAAAGTACATTACCTAGGACTTGTACATCATGATGACACGCTTATGCAATTTCCGCTCTTTGATCAGCCGTATTCTTGTTGTGACTGACACTTTATTCCCAGCTGTCAGTTTTGCAGGGGTGAATGGTAGACACCGTTTAACCTATTGTTGATTTTTGCTACACTTAAGGACCATAAGATACATATATAAATAATCGGGAACACAAAATAGGGAAATCTGTTGAAGGCAGTATTCATATCAACGATATATCAAATTATGCATAAAAACAAGAGGGGGGATTTTGTGCTAACAAGGCTTAGAAACAATCAATACACTAGTTGACTAGACATATACACAAATCATTTCAACTTACATGAATTCTTCAACGAGTGGTTGATGAGTACTTCAGTTTTTCTGTGCAAACAATTCGACACCAGGTAACGCTTAAAAGTGTTATAATATCCGGAATAGATTAAATAGTGAAAATGTCAGTGGACTGAGAGTTACTTATTATTTTATGAAGTGAATGAACTGTAATAACAAAAGTTATTTGACTACATTTTTGACCTTTTCTTTTTGATTTGACTTAAATAATTCAAAGTGATTATCACTCACACTCATTTACTAACCAATGAATGCTTGACTAGTTCTGACCCTCCCTCTCCCTCCTATACACATATGAAACCTAATCGATAAATGCTTAAATTAATGGACAAGACAGTCAGCCCGTTTGTACTGGATCGATAAGATTCCCTCTGCCTTCTCTTTTTTGGTTTTTCAAAATGAATCACACTGGGGGTGAATTACAGTAACGGGCATCTTTGAATAAAATAGCCTGTCTGTGGTCAGGTAGGCTGAAATAAACGCAGGGTTACAAAAAATGTGATCAGGGCATTACGCAACTTTGTATCATGGTTTCATATCTATTTATTACCCAGTATGATTTCAATGCAATTTAGGTAGAATGTTTATAACAGGACACGATGTGATTTAGGTAATGACAACTACTTCCAGGCCTCAAGTCTCTTAACCCTTCCCAGAGCTTAGGTCCAGATTATGTATCTAGTATTATTTTTTTAAATGTTCTGATATTCTGTGTCGCCCTCTCACTGATATGTTTAACAAATCTTTTTCCAGTAATATTGTGCCTGCCGTTTGGAAGGACATTAAAGTTGTACCCATACCTAAATCATCCACTGGAGCATGTGGCAAATTTAGACCCACTGCTATTACCTCTCCTTTTTTGAAAACTATGGAGAAATTACTTTAACTTAGTCTTCTACCTTCGCTAAAATCCTTTAATGACCCTAAACAATTTGCTTATAAGTCCAGTAGAAGCACTTTAGATGTAGCTGCTGTCTTATATTATAACACTGTTTCCAGTCTAGACAAGGGGGCTAAATTTGTTCGTTGTGCCTTCCTAGACTATATATACATCTGCTTTTGACTCGGTCCCTAGGGACATATTATAAAATAAACTTGCTACAAGTCAAACAGAATGTTGGGCTGTTAACTGGTTACATTCCTATTTTTTACGAGTTGATCACGGATTGATATCAGTTAGAGAACCATTGAAAACCAGGGAGTACTGGACAGAAAGAAAGTACACCGTGTATAAAGGGAAGTCTTCCACTTCATTGCCTACTGAAGCTGGTGTCCCTCAAGGCGCTGTCCTTTCTCCTTTTCTTTTTTCTTTCTTCTTGCATGACTTGCCTCACTCTGATGAAATAAACTTTGTGAAGTACGCTGATGACTTAACAGTCTCAATGGCTGTTAACTCCCAGCTAGATTGTACTAAAATAAATAGCTTTCTATCGGGAGTCAGTAAATGGTCTGAGTCTAACGGTCTTAAACTGAATCCTTCTAAATGTCGAGCTGTTAATTTCAGCTTAAGATGTAAAAGACAGTTAAAAGAGGCCGTCGACTCTCATGACAGTTGTAAAATTGACGACAATGATATAGGGATTAAATCAGAAATTAAGTGTCTCGGACTTATTCTCTCTTCTGATCTCTCCTGGTCTTCCCATGTCTTAGCAATCTCCAGTAAAATATTCCGCCTGACATTTTACATTAAGAAGTTAAGACACTCGGGTATAACTCAACCCCTCCTCTTACAGTTCATAAACTCTTGCATCCTACCTATTCTTCTTTATTGTTCACCCTTGTTTATTCTTTCCTGGTTTGCTTAAAAAGGACTATGTCACAATTCGTAGAATGCTGAAGACTATCAGTAGGGTGAGTAGTGTCCCAGTGGACCACATAGTTAACGTCGTTGTCGATAGGCACTTGACTTCGTGCAATAAATTTGCTAAAGGGATTTTGTCTGACTTGGGGCATCCACTTTACCCCCAGCTTTCACCTTGCATCTCCTCAGGTAGAACAAGAAGTAACTTCAGAAAGCTGTATGCTTGCAAGTCTAAGTATAGAAATTCTATGATACCATACTTGGCACGTATTTTATGTGATGAAAATAGTATCAGGCAAGAATTAACTAACCTTTTTCCATCTAGTAAATAAACAATTTCCTCCATCCATCCTTTTATACCTTGAAGTTTTACTTTTATTATTTCTATTATATTTATGGTCCTGTTGCTTCTTTGTGCTACTCTCATAATTGCAAACACCAACTTATCTCCATGACTGCTGTAATCTTTGTTTTTCCCCTCACCATATCATGTAAAGAGAACATTATATTCAGTATTTTTCAACATGTTAGGATTTCTATACCGCATTGACAATACTGTGTGAAACAAGCCCACGGTAAATTTCACTTGTATTATTATTATTACCCTAGCTGTTATTATTATTATTATTTCCATTTTATATGCTGCATGTTTTTGACACTACCTCTATTGTAAATGTGGAAGATTTTCTGTGTGAATAATTTTTATTTATAATTTGAGGAAATTAGATGCAATATTGTGATTGATGCTGAGAATTCCATTCTGTATCACAAGTAATGCTTTTGGAATAAAGTAAATCATTATTATTATTATTACAGTTATTGAATTGGATTTTTGATTTTCCTGTCGATTGACTGGACCGAAGTGCTCGGTCTCAGATTGACATGTCGGCTTCTTGTGCAGATGCTTCGACGATGTCTGGGCATTTAGTCAGTATTTAATTGGTGGATGGTGACTAGCAGTGGAATCCAGGATGCGCATTTCGTTCTACTTGGGACTCGTCAGCTGGATGTACCTGCATTTCTCAGTGAGTGATGACGTTCCCAGCTGACGAGTCCCAAATAGGACGAAATGTGCATCCCGGATTCCACTGCTAGTCACCATCCACCAATTAAATACTAATTATTACAGTTAGTTAACTTTCTAATTATCTAATGAAGAGTTAAGAAACACAATAATTCACACCCATGACAATCGAAACGAGTCGATTATCATAGAGATTCGACTTGTTTAATGCAAAGCGTTATATTCAAGCATGATGCACCTTTGAATTTAGTGGTTACTTGCACACACAGTCTAAATTATTTTGAAACTGTCACTCCTTAACTTGAATTGTTATAGATGGTTTCTTTGTAGAGGTTTATATGGATGTTGTTTTATGAATTAATCCAGGTAGAAACCCTTTTCAACAGAATGAATTTATGCAAGTGAGTGATACGTCGATTAACTAGCAGAGAGGTTAAACAGGATCATTCTGTGCAGTCGTTGCAGGTGACGTGATTTTGTCCTTAGATTTTGGTCTAATGTCACTCAATTTATGAGACTGTCTACCATTGTTCATTTCGAAGTGATGTTGAAGGTATTTGAAAGGCAACTCTGGATCTGGGTGTTTCGCTTACTGATAATTGTCAGTGACTGATTTCCTGTTGTCGCTAAATGCTGTGATCAGAGACTTGATCACTGAAATATTCGGAAGAACATGACTGATTTTCTGTGAAACAAGTTAGTTACACTGATTAAGACACTGGCTGAAGAATTATAAAACTAACCGTAATTGTCTAGAATGATTTAATTTTTCAACCTACACATTAGTTTTAAGAGGAGGTGAGATTTTTATGAAGTTAGGCCCAATCGTAGAGGGCAGAAAAGGAGTCTAGTAATTCTGAGGGAGGGGATGAATTTTGAATCAGAACTGTGTGACTGGTACCTCTGGAAACAATAGTTTTTGTAAACACCATAATTATTCCCTCAGGTTCCAAGTGAAACACAAGGGGCTTCAATAGCACATCCGTATTTCATCCACATTCTCTACAGTGCTCTTTAGCTGGTCTCACGATTGCCTATGAGGTCTCATCTTCCGTTCACACAATCTCCTTCATATTACTGTCAGACCCACGCCCAACTCATCGTTTCGTATTCGGCGGCCCGGTACATGATGTCACTCCACGGTTTTCTCAGTGTGTGTGTGATTTAATGCCTAATCTACTACAATTAGAAAACATCTTAGTATGATTAAAGAAACAGTTAAACATCAGGTTGGGGAAGTGGCGAGTATGGAGTTTATATGTTAAGGAAAGACATCTTTTTTAAGATGCCACTGATAATACTGTTTAAAATGGCCATGAGAAGTTAAATTTCAGCTCTGTATCACAGAAAGGTGGGATGAGAGTCATAGCATTCGCGTGAAGTTAAGCCTTAACCGTTGATAAAAGATAGTGAATGATCAACATTACAACACGAGCATTAAACTCTGATGAAATCAAAGTGCTAGAAATAGGATTCAGTGTCAATATAGCTGTTGATAAATTAAAGCCTCTAGTGTAGAAGTAGTATTAAGCGACACAGATACAACGACCACCGAGTAATTCAGAGCACAATGTACACTGACATCAGAACATCATAAGAATGCTAGAAATAATAATAATAGCTTTATTCCAAACATTATTTGTGGTACGGGTATGGAATTTTCAGCGTGCATTACAATATTGCATCTAATTACCTCATTAATTTTATAAGATTTTAAAATCAAAAAGCAACACCCAAAAAAAGATAAATAAAAAGAAATAAAAAGAACAGCGTTGCGTTTACATTTTGAACAATGTACCACAGGATATGAAATATAAAATTCGTGTGTAGTAGAAGATGTGAACAACAGTGTAGTAGTAACAAAGAAAGGAAAACAAAAACTAATGGAACTATTTGTTAGAGTACCGCTGTAAGTTGATCGTGTCATACCTAACGGATTTCTCATCACATAACAGCTGTGCCAGATATGATATTGTGGAGTTTTTGTACTTGGTAGTCCTAGCATATAGCCTCCTTCCTATAGCTGCTTCTAGTTCTACCAGATCAAACGCAAGGAGACAGCTGCGTATAGAGAGGATGCTCAGGGCCTGACAATATTGTACTCGCTAGTTTCTTACATGACATTATATGTCTATCCACAATACTGTTGATCAGTTGGTTTAACGATATCCCACTTGCCCTACTAACGGCTTTTAGTGCCTGCCCTTCTCAGCAAAGCAAAGTCTTTCTTAAGTAGTCCAGGAAAGACTAATGGGGAGCAGTAAAGAGGGGTGGGTAGAATACAAGAATTTACAAACTGAGAGAGCAAAGACTGCTTTATACCAGACTGCCTTAACTTCCTAACGTAGAACGTTAAGC